GCATTCAGATGGCACCGTATGAGGCTTTGTATGGTAGGCGGTGCCGGTCCCCAGTGGGATGGTTTGAGCCGGGCGAGGCACGATTGTTGGGTACAGATTTGGTCCGGGATGCCCTGGATAAGGTGAAGGTGATTAAGGAGAGACTTCGCACAGCCCAGTCCAGACAGAAGAGTTATGCGGACCGTAAGGTTCGTGATTTGGAATTTATGGTTGATGAGCGGGTCTTGCTTCGAGTATCGCCTATGAAGGGCGGGTTCGGGAAGAAGGGCAAGTTGAGCCCGAGGTTCATTGGTCCTTTTGAGATATTGCAGCGAGTTGGGGAGGTTGCTTATGAACTTGCCTTGCCTCCCAGCCTAGCAGGAGTTCACCCAGTATTCCACGTGTCTATGCTCCGGAAGTATCACGGTGATCCGACTTATGTATTAGATTTCAGCTCAGTCCAGTTGGACAAGGATCTATCTTATGTTGAGGAGCCAGTAGCCATTTTGGACAGGCAGGTCAGAAAGCTCAGGTCGAAGTATATTGCTCCAGTAAAGGTCCAGTGGAGGGGTCAGGCGACCGAGGAGGTGACTTGGGAGACCAAGCAGGATATGCGCAGTCAGTACCCTCGTTTTTTCACGGTTTCAGGTATGTCTTTATACTCGTTTGAGGACGAATGATTGTTTTAAGAGGGGAAGGATGTAACAACCCAGTCGGTTGTTTTGAGAATTAGAGCCCCGATCCCCTAATATCTGATTTCCTCACATTTGTTTCTGCTTTTGGGATTTGACGGGGTGATTAGTTATGAAATTCGGAAAGTTTTGGGACACTTAGTCCCTAGTTGTGAGTTTAAGCCTTAGAAATTGGATCATAGTCGGAAGTGTGTGAATACGGATCCGGAATGGAATTCTGTCAACTCTGTTAGCTCCGTTGAGTAATTTTGAGCTTAGGAGCACGTCCGGAATGTATTTTTGAGGTCAGTAGTAGATTTAGGCTTGAATTGGCGAAAGTTAGTTTTTCGGCGATTTCGGCCGATACTGAAAATTTTGATATCGAGTTTGGAATGGATTTTCGAAAGAGGTTGTAGGTTCGTAGTGTCATTTTGTGACTTGTGTGTAAAATTTGAGGTCATTCGGACTAGATTTGTTGTGGTTCGGCGTCGTTTGTAGAATTTGAAAAAATTCAAAATTCTTACGCTTGAATCCGTGCTTAATTCATGATTTTGGTGTTGTTCGATGTGGTTTGAAGGCTCGACTAAATTCGTATGGTATTTTAGGATTGGTTGGTATGTTTGGTCAAGGTCCCGGGGGCCTCGGGTGTATTTCGGATGCTTAACGGAATGAATTTGGACTTAGGAAAATCTGGTGCCTTTGCTGGTTCTGGTGTTTCGCACCTGCGGAAGGGAGGCCGCAGGTGCGGAGAGAGTGCACATATGCGGAACTGGTGGGGCTGGTGATGGAGCGCAGGTGCGCAAGTTTGACCGCACCTGCGAGCCCGCAGGTGCAAAGCATGGGCGCATGTGCGGAGCCTGGCTACCTTAGTGAAATGCGCAGATGCGCGATTGGACTGCAGGTGTGAGGAATTGCCCGCAGATGAGGGCCCCAGCCCGGATAAGTGACCTTCGCGCCTGCGATGATTTTTCCGCAGGTGCGTGACCGCAGATGAGGCCCCATGAGCGCAGGTGCGGAAATCGCTGGGTTAAAGAGGCAGATTTGAGGGTTCATTCCTCATTTTCACCAATTAGAATTTTAGCTCGGGAGAAGGCGATTTTGCAAGGGTTTTGAAGAGGAAAGCAGTGGGTAACAATTCTTAACTCTAATTTGTGTATATTTCATTAATCCATTATTGTTTTCCTCGTCTAATTATGGAATTTGAGGGTACAAGTTTGGAAATGGGGGAAAAGGTTCTCCAATTGAAAATCTGAGATTTGAATGGAAATTTAACGTCAGATTTAGATGATTTTTGTTCGAGTGAACTCGTGAGTGAATGAGTGTTCATAATTTATAATTTTTACCCGATCCCGAGATGTGGGCCCGGGAGACTTTTTGGGCATTTTTTCTAATTTCATGCTTTAACTTCGAATTAATTAGTTAAATTAGTTACTTGTAGTTATATTTATATTATGCAATTAATTTGAATAGATTCAGGCCATTTGGAGTTGGATACTCGTGGCAAGAACGTGATATCGAGTTGATTTGAGCGGTTCGAGGTAAGTGGCTTGTCTAACCTTGTGTTGGGGAATTTTCTCTTATGATGTTTGATATTAATTGAGGTGTGGGCGCCGTGTACGTGAGGTGACGAGTACGTACACAGGCTATTATTGCAAAAATCCTGTTTTTCCTTTCTAAATCATAAACGGTTTTCCCTTATTAAATTGCACTAATACGTTTAATTATTTAGCTTAGACTAGAGAAGCATGCTTACGTGTTTTAACTACCTATCTGACATTCTGCGTGACATGCTTAGTTAAGTCCCTACTTTTCTTATTTAAATTGTATAACTCGATGCCATACGTGCCATTTCATCTTGCATTGCATATTTAAATTGGGACTACGGACGTATCCCGGGAGATCCCTCTGTCTTGCATATTTATTTTGGGGCTGCAGACATATTTCGGGAGATCCTCCAGCACTGCATATTTACTTTGGGACTACGAACGTATTCCGGGAGATCCCTCTAGCACTGTATATTTACTTTGGTACTACAGACGTATTCTGGGAGATCCCCCAGCACTGCATATTTACTTTGGGACTACGGACGTATTCCAGGAGATCCCCTTGTACTGTATATTCATTCAGAACTACGGGACGGTATCCCGGGAGATTCCCCATTGTGTTTACCTTGTTCTGAACCGAGGGCTCCCTTAACTGTTAAATTTTTGAGAATTTCTTTAACTGTGTTACCGTAAATTTTACTTATATCTTTTTACTGTTTAATTTATTATATTTACTCCGGTAGGGCCTTGACCTGACCTCGTCACTACTCGATCGAGGTTAGGCTTGACACTTACTGGGTACCATTGTGGTGTACTCATGCCCTTTCCTGCACATGTTTTCGTATGCAGATCCAGGTGCAAGCTTTCAGCCTCAGGGTTAGTGCGTGCTGCTGATTCTAGGAGACTTCAAAGTACTTCTGCTTGCGTCCGTAGATATTCGGAGTCCCTTTCTACTCCCTCACCTAGAGACTTTCTTTATTATCTTCAGACTTTTGTATAGAGCTACATAGATTATAACAGCTTGTGACTTAATGATATTCCGGGTCTTAGAAAATTATTTTGTATATGCTGAGTGGTACTACTCTTGGCTATTCACAATATGCTGTTTATTTTTAAAATATTGTATTTTCTTTATATTTTTCGTAATATTAGGCTTACCTAGTCGTAAAGACTAGGTGCCATCACGACACCTTACGCAGGGTTAATTTGGGTCGTGACACTCTCATTTTCTTTTTTCCTTCTTTTCATTTTATCTCCTTTTTCCATTCCTCTCTTTCCATATATTTCTTCAGTTTTTCATTCTAGGACGGTTACCTTATTCCCTTTAGAAAAAAATAGACAAAGTTGTGGAGATAGCCCCTTGTTGTTGGTCAGAAGAAATTCCAACCTTTGTTGGAGTATTATTGTAAGAATTGGTATATCCCAAAATATTACTACAGTCACGTAGATAGAAGAAAGTAAAAGAAGCAATAAAGATATATAATAAAAAATAAAAATTTATTGACTGCTCTGACTCGAAGAAAGTTTGTACTTAAATCTCATCCCTTCCTGCATTACATATTGCTAGTATTCTCAGCATAGCATGCACGACTTTAAATTGGGAAAGCAAGATCATATACTATTTAAATAATACATTAATATCACATTCATTATACATTGAATTGAAAAGAAATTAAGAGAGGAAGAAGAAGAAGACATGGTGAGGGAGAAACTTCTGTTATAGGCTTATCGAAAAATAGGAAGAGAGCGATGGAGAAAGTAATGTGCAACAGCCAATAAGGGTGATCTTTGATATTGTTTCTTTTGGGTTGGGTCAAAAAGTAGGAAGATAGAGCGAGGGAGAAAGTAACATATAATAAGGCTGATTTTAACATTGTGCCTTTTGGGTTGTGACTAATCGTAATAACCTCCTTAGATTTAATGTCGTGTCTTTTGGGTTCCGGCTAAACGGTTCGATAGAAGATAATAGAAAAGAGAAATAGGCAAAGTGATAGAAAATGATAAAAAAATTGAGGAAAAAGATAAATAGAAATCCCATCTTAGGAGAGTGCCACATCACTTGTTTGTGTCCCTCAATTATTTATATATATATATATATNAGAATATTGGACGGTAAAAAGTGGAATAAAAATATCTCATTTTATGTGCTGATATTTGACTCGACACAAAGTTTAAGGAAAAAAAATATTTTCGAAACTTGTAATTTTAGACAAATCATAAAATATTTCATGGATATAATTTTTTTCTCTTAAAGGTAAAGTAGTAAGATTAAAATTAAATTATTTCTAAATAATAAAGCATGATTAATGATTCCTTTTGAAAATGAGAACAAATATGAAATATTTTTTTGTTCCCATCAACATTTAGGGGTGGTTTGGTAGGAGACATTAGAAAAAATAATTCAAGCATTAACTCTATGCATTATTAATATCTTGTTTGGTACATTATATAACATCATACTTGGTATTATCCTATGTATAAGTAATGCATAGAAACCATGAAATTAGTAATACCAAGTCTACTAATGCGTGCATTAGGTTAGTTAAAGACAAAATTATCCTTAAAGTCCCATAAAGCTTGAGAATATGGAGGATATTTTTGTAAACAACTATTTTTCTTAAAAATTATGCAATGCATTATAATTTTAATACACCACACCAAGATAAGAAAAAATATCTTCATAACTAATGCATGCATTGCTAATCATACATTACTAATCCATGCATTACTAATACACCTTATTCCGCACTATTCTAATACACGTTACCAAACGACCCCTAAGTAGTATCAATTTAGTGATTGACAATATTGGGAAGACAATTGGGGATTGAAATGGAAAAGAAAGGGGGAGAAAACACAGTAACCTGAAAAGGGAAGCAGCTCAGATATTGCTACTACTACACCCCTGCCCGCGAAATCAAACTTGGTGGTGTAACTTTGTAGTGCGACAACTGAACTTCACAATGGCGGACGAAGATTTACCACCTGCTATAAGGTTGATGAGTTTTGTTTCCGAAGAACAGGTAAACCGTAAACCCTTGCCCCCATTTCCTCTGTTCACATGGGTTTCTTCCGCCGTTAGTTGTTTGCTTTAAACGTGGGTTTGTTTCGTAGTTGGAAGAAGCCAAGAAAACTCGGGGTGCTCGGGTCGAGGACGGAACTGCTCAGAGAGATCGCCCACTTTATGAGGTCCAACAAAACTCAATAAACTCCCTTTTGCTTGTCACTTATTGTTGCTATATTTCCTTACTGGGCACTTTGTGTTAACTCTTCTAAATACACTATAAAGATTGGCAACAATGTGCATGTACCTTCAGGATACTTACAAACACCTGTATCAGATATCCTAGTATCAACCAGTGGTGGAACCAGGAATTTATATAAAGGAATTCAAAAGGATATTAGAATCTCATAGTTAGAATTCAAATTTATGATCTAAAGCAACTTTTTGAACCCACTTTATCACTACACTAAAAAATTTCCTTATGTCAAGAGGATCCAACAATTCATATATGACCAAATCTTTTTATTTTTTATTTTACACGACAATATAATTTTTCGACGAAGTGAACATAGAACATTACTGGAATTGTGTTGTCAAAGCAATAATTTTGGAAATTAGTACCTCCTATTATGCTAATGACATTATTTTTCCTTTCATTGATTATCCTTTCCAGTTTTAATCTTTTGTGTCAAGGTAGCTCTGGTCCATATGTTTATGCTCTCTGGGATGTTTGTGCTTCAAATATCAGACTCTCCAGCTTGAGTTATATTTTTCATTGAAACCGCAGATTTTGAAGGAAAACAAGGACAAGAAAGATGCTGAATTTAATGAGCGATTTAAACACCGTGAGTAATTAAGGACCCTTTTCCTTTTTCGTTTCTTGTGGGTTACTCATTTTGGTGCTTGCGCTATTCATTTACAATTGCTTGGAAATGTATCTCTTTAATGTTCTTGCAGGACCACCTAAAGCCTTGGATGATGACGAGACCGAGTTCCTTGATAAGCTTGAAATGGTTAGATGTTGCTTAAGGTCTTTATGTTTGTTTGGGATACAACTAATAGATTATCTATACATGCTTTGTCATTGCCATGATGTCCTGTCCACATTATTATCATTTCTACACATGTGATGGGGAACATTCTATCTTTTGCTTTAAGGACTCATCTAATTTGAGATTTAATGCTTATATGAGCAGTGGGTGTTTAGTGAATAACTATCTTAAAGTTCAGCTGCTTATCTCAACTTAAGGTTCCTTGTAGTTCTCTTCCAAGCGACAAACCCTCTGATCGTGGAGTTTAAACTTACAGTTATTTTATGCATGATTTATTATTCGTTGATTGTAGTGTATATGTGGATGTTACGACGGATGTGCGGTCGTACAAAATTAGAAATACATTCATCTGACAGAAGATACAAGAACTACTTAGAGGATAAAACACGAGAAGTTTGCTTGAGATGTATAGCATTCATACTTGTAGTCTAGGGGTGGACTAGCTTGCTGAGAAAGTACATAGCCATGTTTTAGAGCTCCAAAATGCACCGGTCCTTATTTATGATGCTATAATGATTACATATGTTAAAAGGAAATGAGGTGAACCTGAAATTACATGGAGGGAAATTGTCCTTAAAGATGTAGAATTTCTTGGAATCCGTGCGAACTTAATGAAGATCAAAACATGACAGAGGTAAAAGGTTCTTATAGGTGATATCAATAGTTAGGATTAAAGCCTGGTTTTGTTGGAACACATACCTAAAGTCCAGTGTTTGCTTGGAGTCTTTTTAGTATATTTAGAAATTTGTATGTCAGCATGAATTGTTCAGGAAATCTAGTGATAGGGACCCTAAGTTGTCTTAAATGACAAATGATTGAGTATTCGGATGAAACAAGTCCAGAATGGGATGGGTGAAAGTGAATATGGATGATTCATATAGACGAACACAACTAGTTCGGTATTAAGGTGTAATTTCTGTTGTAGTAGCAGCGTATCCTATCATGTTTAGTGTTTACTGTATCCTAGAGTAGACAGATGCGCACAGTAAGTACATTAGTTGCACGTTGAGCTTTTAGGCATATCATGTAGTTGATGATGATTTTAGTTTATTATTATGCACTTAACACCTCTGCTACATTAAGGATGAAGCATGTGGCATCCTAATCTCATAGAAAGTATTTCTTGCTGGGAAGCCTAAATGCAACTATTCCAGCTGGAATGTCATTAATATTACAATTGCTCTAGATTTTTGATTAAAAAGTTAATTTGTGCTTTGTCTAATCTATTGGTTCTATTAGTCTATGCGTGCTAATGGAGCAGTATATATATATGTGTGAATGGGCTCCAACATAGTTTAGTTCTTAATGCTTCACTATACCTTTTTAATCAAGCTTTCAAGATATGTTTTGCGTAGCGGCATGACCCCGCCTCCCTATGTGGGGAGGGGGTTCAACTTGTGAGGTTCCTAAGCTTTCAGATTGGCATGAAATGCTGGATGACCCTGCCCAGCTTGACTTGAACAAGATCGTCATGGCAGGAGTTTGGATTTCTTCAGCTTCTTATCTTGTTGCTTTTATGACATTTGCCATTTGGTGTAGTGTTGTGAAGTTATACAATTCTATGTGCCGTAGTACATATATGGAAATTTGGTTTTCCTTATATGAATATATTTATTCCAATCTCTTATTTGTTTATTAGTTTAGGAAAACCTTATTTAGTGTACTCTTGATGTTCTTGTGCGATAATACATGGTGACGGTGACCTCCGTTTATTTTGCAATGGAAAGACCAGTTCTCGAGAAGTTGTTATTGGGCTATGAGTTAATTTGCATCAGAAGAAGATAAAAGATATAACCTTTGGATGCTCTCTAACTCGTTGATCGCTTCTCTGCTCAATGCATTTGCTTATGTGTACAAATTGATGTCTGTCTGTCTCCTCTGTGTATGAACATAACATGGACATATTTATGCATGCATCATATATTTGATACTTTATGCTCTAACTCTTTGATTGCTTAGTCAAGGAGAGATTATGAGAAGCAAGTGGCTGATGAAGAGGCTGAGCAGCTGCGAAGTTTTCAAGTAATTTAGTGTCATTGTTCAACTTCATTGCCTAGAAGTTTGCTTTATGGCCTATGAAGAATGCTGATCTTACTCTTGGGTTTTTTAGGTTGCTGTTGCTGCACAGTCTACCATTGTACAGGAAATCAAGGAGATGCCTCCTGTTCCGAAAGTCCAGGTTAGTCTCAATAGCTGGATCTGCCTTTAGAAAAGCACTGTATTTTTGGTGTTCATGGCTTATTGTTTCTTAGCCACTGCTTTATCAGCATCTCACCCGATGTTAAAAATTATCTGCCTTTACTTCTGCTGTGTGGCCGCATAGTTATATGAGATGGCAATATATGGTCAAATGATATGACATGTGTGAGGCACTAATACCAAAATGATTCTTGGCCTTTTGTCTAAGATGCTTTGGCAATTTACCTCTTTTTAATGATTTCATACACGTCTCTCTAAAATGAATAGCTGTACTTCATAGCACTAAGCTTTCATATAAACGCTGAAAAATTACAAAGCTAGGTAGTCAGGCTAGTGTTTCGTTTCGCTTAAAGGGTGCTTCAGTGCATGTCTCGTCATCCATGGGTTCTGTAGAGCATCGCTAGATATAGTTGGCAAGGTTCAAACAAAAAAAGAAAATTGGAAATTTACTACTACTACTACACTAGAAAGCTAGTTACTATATCTTAATTAGAAAGTTGCTGCATATTTTCATCTGAATCATAAATTAATATGGTTTTTGAACTTGAAGGAGGTGATTTTTACTTTCTATATTCACTTTTTCATATATTATAAAGTACTACTTGTTATATTCACTTAATTGTAGTGTTTTTGTCAATCCATTGTTGATATCATTTAGTTTGTGTTTTTATTTGTTTTGTTTTTCATGCATTACATGTATATTTAGAAGAAAAAAATTTCATTAGCCTTTCTTCATTGAAGTCCCCCTATAATTGCGCTCTGCACTTACAACCCCATTAGACCTTTGGGCTTTCCTATGTTTTTCGCCTTAGACAACAGAGGAAGGAGTCTGGATTTGTACCAATCACGTATCTAAAGAGAAAAGGTGGAGAACGTCCAATTGTGCTTCAAACTCTTAATACTCCATAATTCCCCGCCTTTGCTCATTTCCTTTTCTGTAACACAATCATCTATAACTTGGTTGATTTTATTTTTGGCCTCCGTGGTTATTCTATTTTCTTTTTCTTATTCATTCTTTTCTCCCTTTTGTTTCTATGTTCATGATTTGGCTTAAATGGTCAAAATCAAGAAGTAACACTGATCCATTGGGTTTCAGGAAGAAAGGATGTTGCTAAAAAATTTTGCTGGCACAGATGCAGAAAATAGTATCTGATTACCTTTGACTAGGGGTGTCCAATGGGTGGGTCAAAATGGGTTGAGTAAATAATTTGACCCGCCGAAAAGTTACTTGCGCTAAGATGGGCTGGGTCAAGATAGGCTAAAATTTGGGTCATGGCACAACCCGCCCAACTCTTATCAAGCTTTACTTAATAAGTGTTTTCTTATAGTTACTAAATAAGACTTCTTTTTCTTTTTGTTATGGCCATATACATCATATCAAATAAAAAGAAATTATTTCTAAGATATTTTGGCAAAGTTATTCATGGATTAATTTGGGCTAAAAATCAGCCCAACTTTAAATGGGTTGAGATGGGGTGAGTTCAATAAATGGNCAAGCAATTTCTTTTTAAAGATGGAAATCTTGTGACTATACTAGTTGGTACCGGTGATTAATTGATGCCGTCTGCACCACACAACAAAACCAACTTAACAAAAGAGTTGAAGGAATCAAAACACTTACAGGCGATTAAGCTGGTTAATCAGTGAAAAGAAGAAGAATTGTCGGCTGGGAACTAGGAGGAAAAAAGAATAACATGCTGCAACAGCTAATTTACTAGCAAAAAATTGCGAAGCCTGTGAACGAACTATTCAAGATTCAGTTAATTAAATTTAGAAGCTAAAACTTCAGCTTTGCAGCTTTTGCTATGAATAGGTTTAGTATAAGCGTATGCAATGCAACCCTATGAGGCCTCACCCATACTATCAAATGGCAATGAAGATCCCTAAACAATTGAAAAGCTGCAATCTGATATTTGAAGAGTAATTTAGGTCTATTAAGTTCCAAGATGGAATTTACTTATCCAATTATCGAGGGACTTCTGATGTTGTCTGTTCATATAGTAATTTTTTTTATTGTCTTAATAGAATTTCTTGTATTACGAACAATGGCCATTGACCACACGAAACCAAAGGAAGAGAGCACAGTGAATATCTCTTGTTCCAGCCTTTTCATGATCCAACTGAGTCAGTGTTGGTGCTTGGTAGGCATGAATTGGAGATCAAACCCCTTTTCCCCTTAACTTTTTTTCTTCTTTTGTTGTACAGCACCTTTCTGATATATGGACTAGACAGAATCATTTATTGAAAGCGTAAAGTTGATTTACATTTGACTCACCTTCTGGGGACTCCTGTCTGTCTCTTTACTCTTGTTGCGTGTTTCTGTTCATCTCTTCCTTCACATTGTCTCGTATCTGATCCTGCATCTAGTTCTCAGTTTATATATTATGTGCTAACAACTCTTTCTCGATTAAAAGGTTTGTTTAGTGCTAAAGCAAGCTTCGTGAAGCTGTCAACTTTTGCAAACAGGAAGTTTTTCTTTTCTAATGAGGCTTTACCTTTAAATTCCTAGAGTTGCCTTTTTCTATCAATTTTAGATGAATGGTAGGTTTTGCTTCATATTTCTGTATTTCACCTTCTTTTTGAGCCGAGGGTCTTTCGGAAACAACCTCTCTACTCCTCGGGTTAGGGGTAAGGTCTGCGTACATACTACCCTCCCCATAGTGGTATTTTACTGGGTTGTTGTTGTTATGTATTTCACTTTCTCCTTTTGGACTTAGGTTGCTGTTTAATACCATAAACAAATGGGCTTCTCTGTCATTCTATTCTGTCTAACTGTGCCATTCTACAAGGGAAAGGGGATTACTTGTTACATGACCAATTTGGGCTAATAATTGGCATTGAATTTTGTGTGGTGTATATCAGTATCGTTAAGAAACAATATTTGGCAAGACGCAAGTCACGTGTTACTAGTTTCCTTAATAAAAATGGAGGAAGAAACTTATAAATCCCTATTTTGGTATATGCCTCTGGCCCTATGGTCGCTGTATCTTTTGGTTTTCATTGGATTGTTGGTTGATGCAGGAGCCGACATTAATTAGGAGGAAGAGTCGTCCACCTAATCCATTGGGAACGATTATCAAAGTCAAGCCACAAGCAAAGAAAGCAAAGATGGATCCAGAAACTTCAGGTCCTTCTTTGACAGCTAACAAAGTGTCTAGTGATGATAAAAAGCAGCTTTCATCAGATATTCATAATGTATCCAAATGTGACACAGGAGAATCCCACAGATTTGTGAAAGGACCTATTGCCGATGATGAAAACCGTGAACCAGTTACAATAGGTGGTTTGGTTTCCTATAGTGATGAAAGTGATGATGATTGATTGTGGCATATTGATATGTCAATGAGAATTTGCGTCAGTTTAATCAAATTTCCAATTTCTCATCATCTATGGATGGTATGTTCTTGCTTTTCCATTCCATCAACTCATCAAGTTGATTGGTTTCATTAGCATTCTCTACTTGATAGCCCTTTGGCTTCACGTTGTCTTTTTTCTTTTTCTTTTCCCCCCCTTTTCTTCAACTTGCAGGACAGCTGGGGATTTGGTTCTGTCTTAATAGGTTCACATGATTGGTTGATGGAGAATCAAAAGTAGATTTGCAAAATTACGAAGTATTTCTAAATTTATTCAGAAGTAATTACAAGATCATGCGTTTTCTCTTGTTGTAACAGAAATAGGTATAACTGGCAGGTCAAGCCTATGCTTGAAATTAACAGCTAGCAATACTCCCTTAAACGAAAAAGAGATTCAAGAAGACAAACTTTCGTCTTTAGGAAATAGAATGATTTTTTTTTTAGAACTAATTAACTTTATTACCAATTGAAACATATGCACAGTACACAAAAAAACTGCTTGTTGGACATCATGTCCCAACAGTCATTCATAGTTCAAAGAAGCAACAAGCCAAACAAACAAAAGCTACTCAAAACCAAACTACTGTGGGTAACTATTGAACCCCTAATTAGAATCTCAGTATTTTGCTTTGTGCCCCAAAAAATCGAATGATTATTAAGTTGCCACGAAGCTTATTATTAAGGAAAAATTCTTGAAAAAATGTACAAGAAGAATGGAAATAATTAAAATGCAAAAAAAAAAAAAAAAAAAAAAAAAAAAAAAAAAAAAAAAAAAAAAAAAAAAAAAAAAAAAAAAAAAAAAAAAAAGAAGAAGAAGTAAGAAGCATGCAAAAAAAGAGAACATGAGTTTAGTAGTATGGTTTAAATAGTGTAGTCATCCTCAGCTCGTTTTTTGCTTCTTTGGAGCAGGGATGAAGCCAATGAGTTAGGTTAGGATTTTGTACACTTCTTAGAAGATAACAAATGTACGTGTAACTTCTCTTGGGGGATAGAAACAGAATTAAATCTCCATTTATTTTTGTGAAATTGCTTTCATTCTCAACGGTAAATTAATATAGCACTGAAGTTAGATGTAACAGTGAAGGTAGTTATAACAAAATTGATCTATTTGATTTTTATCTTTTGTCTGCACAATAATTTGATTAATTAGCACTCCGAATCTCCGACCCCTCTGGTGAGTTACGTTTGTCCAACAATTGTAGTGTGATTGAAATTTGAATCTATGGCCAAAGCCGTATCCATGATTTAAACTTTATGGGTTCAGATTTACAATTCTACCACATCTCATTTAATTTAATAGGTTCACAATTTATTATATATACATATTTAATCATTTTCTGGGTAAAAATACAATGAGCGAAAGCTATGAGTTCAGTTGAACCCATAGCTTCTACACTGGATACGCGTCTATCGCAGTGAGTTTACCTTGTTGACAATTGCCAAGCATCCCGTAAGTGGACAAATAGAAATTTCAGTTACTATAAATTTGATAATTGTGAAACTGAATCATAAGGCACACAACACAAATCACAAGTACACACAAATTAATTAATACGCTTTTGATAGCAGGAGACATCAATTAATTAGAGCATCATCAATTTCCTTTTGTTCATCATGTTAAGAAAGGAAGGGAGATGTTGGCTGTGGACGCACCAGGTCATAAGCCGAATGCCATTTTGGGGCAGAGGTTGTTTGCTAACAATTCCCACAGGTATAACAGCAGATCCTTGTACTGGTATCACATGCACAGGCTTCCCCCATCCATAATCAACCTCGTTAAATCCTAGTCTTCCCCATTCTGAAACGAACAGTGTATCATAACCTACTCCAGGCCCTGGCGCAAATGGATCATTTAATTGATCATCACCATTTTGATCCTCATTCACAGATTTACCGGTCTTGTTATTAAGCCATTGTGAAAATTCCTCTGGTAGTTTCGCCTTGGCATCTTTGATTAGTTTCACCACCTCAGCAAGAGATGCTTGTGCCACAATTTTGTTCGATGCCTTTACCGTCACTGGGAAGAAACAGTTCCCGTAGAACCCGGCCGGTAGAGGCACCAGTTGCCGACAGTTAGCGAAAAACACCAGCTTCACTTCATCATCACCTGCATCATTAGTGGCCAAGCCAGTAATTTTGCTAAGAGTATTCAGGTTAAAAAGTAATTTTTGACCTATATATTCCCTTTGTCCCGATTTAGGTGATGCAATTCGGATTTCGAGAGTCAAACAAGTTTTTCTTTGACCGTGATTCTTTCATATGCTTTTTTAATATTTTGAATTGATGATTCTATGTCCAAATTCGAGATCAAGTTTAAAAAATTTGACTCTCGAATCCGAACTGTATCATATAAATCGGAACGAAAGAGTATGCTTAAAAGTAATATTCCAGGCAAATACTAGGTGATTTCTTCCCATCTATCCAAGCCTTGGTGGATAGAGTTACCTGGTATCTGTTGCTGGTAGGAGGTGACATGTATCCCGTGGAATTAGTCGAGGTGCGCGTAAGCTGGCCCGGACACCACAGTTATAAAAAAAAAAAAGAGTATGCGTAAAAGTAATATTTGATTCATATATACAGCCGGCTATAGCTCCACCCCTGACCTGCATCATCTGTAGTAATAAAGCTTGAATTCGACGAGGAGGAGAAATTCTTCTCGTCGTTTGTTAGATCTAAAATTGCTCGGGTTCGCTGTCTCCACAGAGTAGCAGCTATAATTTCAAAAGAGGAACAAAATGCATTTTGGCGGTCCATTAATTGATCTTGCATTACTTTGTGTTTGAGCTGATTGATCTCATCCATTGGAATGTCGAAACTGGCATGCTCCAGCCGTTGATCTGGAACTGGAATATTGAACGGTGGAGACATTGATGAGTTGTCTTTGGTCTCCTGATCTGATGCAAATCCTTTTTGTGGTGATGAAGTTGGGAGAAGATATTCCCTGCACCACACTGGTGTAACGCTAAGTTTCTCAACACCCCTAGCAAACTCCCCTACTGCTTTTAGAAATTGTGCAGCTCCCAATCCATCACATATACTGTGGCAGAAAGTTAATCCCATAACGAAGCCACCACACTTAAATTCAGTTACCTGCATATGATGATAATTACAATATCGTTAACTATTTTTTGCTACCTAGCTAGTTTTTGAATGTCTTTAGGCAAAAAATGATTTTTTTTTTCATCTTTTCATCTTTTCTTGAGCCAGGGTTTATCGGAAACAACCTTTTTACTTTCAAGGTAAGAGTAATGTTTGCGTACACACTACCCTCTAAATACCCCACTTGTAGAATTATACTGGGTTTGTTGTTGTTGTTAGCTAGTTCTTTATTCGTGCGCGTTGCGGAAAGAAAAAGTTACTACTAATTCCTCTGTTTAATTTTCCTAAGAAAGTAATTAGTCCCATATTGAAACCACCACACCTATGTTTTTAGGAGTGTCTCCTAATGAAACATAAATAACTAATTGGATAGCGTTGGATAAGTTCAGGGTATTACCTAAACTTGTATATATTTGACATTTCCCTGCTTTTGGATATACATTGTTGGGGACAAATAAATGAAGAGGAGATATATATACCTAACATAATAAATGATTTCCATAACCTGCTATTTGGATATATATATTCCTGGGGATAAGTTTAGGTATACCTTCTCTTTATCACACCGGATATATATTGTGTGGTTATACCATCAGTGTTAATAATATTTTACACAATCAGGTTACCCAAAAAATATTTATAAGTAAACCTTCTTAAAATGTGGGATTTGTGATCTTGAAAATAAAATAAGTTATAACAAATAAAAGTGACATTATAGTATAAAAGTTTAAAAAATAGCAATTTGAGATGTACTGTGAGACGCATTTCAGGGAGAACCAGCTAGCTCTGGGTTCGAGTACGCATTTCACACTATATATAGGTAGTAGTTTACCTGCACAAGCACCAATGGGTCCATGAAAGTGTCATGACCACCAATAGGATCAGGAGAAGAAGAATGAAGCTGAGGTAGAAGTTTATCAAAGGTACTATCTTCCAAAGCTGCAGCTTCATCCAAGTAGTTAACATCACAGAGAGTACAATCAGCAGAAGCCTCCACAAACCAAATCCCTTGTGCTGAACAATCAATCTGAAGCAGCTGGTTATTACTGTGCGGTGAGAGTTTGAGACGGCCCGCTAGAGGATAGTAAGGAACCAAAGCTTTTGAAAATGCCTCACGAATGAGAGTAGCGTCTCCTCCTTTAAACACGTGCAACGTACGTGCATTGCATCGAAGTACTGCTAAACTGTCTATAACTGAGAGATCAAGCACATCATTTGGAGTTTGTCCTGAAGGTGTTATTAGATTTCCTCCTCCTCCCCTTCTTGTCACCAAAAAGTCCATCACCATCACTTAATTCCGCTACGGACTTAAGGGAATTGAGCCTTCGTATATATGGAGATTTACTAAGTGATCGCTTCCAAATTCAAATGAATGCAGGGATTAACAAAGATGGGCGATCCTGAGTCAAATCCTGTTTCCCAAAACAAACAAAGGTTCAAAAAACAAAACAAGAAAGGATAAACGTACGTTGTCTCACCTCAATTCAATAGCAACTCATGTACTATATTATATATTTTGATTGATTCTAATATAACTGCGTAGTTGCAGATTTATAGTGGTAGCAACAAGTAACAACGGGCTTGCTTGGCTGCGATTAAACTTGTTGCTGTTTGCTTGGCTTGTAAGTCCGTGAAACTGAAACTTTGGCTTGACATTGGGGAGTAAGGCAGTAATAGATTAAGGTTTTCTTATTTATTTACATGTATTGGTTTCTTTCCTAGTTAGGTGACACTATATTATATACGTGTAACTTTTAGCTTTATGAATTAAAATACTACATAGGCACGCCAAAGATACCAGCTATTTTGATTTCCTGAATATTCATATTGCGCTCCATCAATATTTTAGGTCCTACTGTACAGTGTACACAACACCTAAAGATTAGTTCTTTTTTTTTTTTCTTTTGTTTATTACTACTACCGTTTTTTTTTTTGAAATGGTAACTCTATGTTGTTTAACCGTGTAAAACTATATTTTCCATGAAATTAAACTAATATTGACGGAATAACATTAGAGCATATCACTACTAGAAATTCGGCAAAAACCGACCAAGGTATTGGTCGGTTTTTCAAAATATTTTTTTTTTAAATTTTTTTTTACGTAACCGACCAACTTTGGTCGGTTTTCTTTGGCGCAAAAATGCGGGAAACTATTTTTGAGTCCCGCAAAATTTATATTTCAAGAAACCGACCAACTTTGGTCGGTTTTTCAATTAAAATAAATAAAAATTAATATTAAAAAAACCGACCAAAATTGGTCGGTTAATTCGGCCGGTCATTTAAAAAAACCGACCAACTTTGATCGGTAATTTTACTTTTTAATAAAACCGATCAACTTTGGTCAGTTATTTTCGTGCGAAAATACAATTAAAAAGTATAAATCAAATAAAAGACAGTCTTAAAACAAAATGTACCAATGGTCTAGTGGTAGAATAGTATCCTGTCATAGTACAGACCCCGGTTCGATTCTCAGATAGTGAATCTTTTTATTACACAATTAAAATAACGACCAACTTTGGTCGGAAAAAACCGACCAACTTTGGTCGATTTTTTTTTTGCAATATTTTTTTTTGAATTTAATTGACCAACTAAGTTGGTCGGTAATTTCCGACCAACTTTGATCGGTATGCCTTTCCGACCACAAAATACCGTCCACACGTATATGGTCGCGTTTTGGTCGGTTTTTGGCCATTACCGACCAATGTTGGTCGGTTTTTACCGGATTTCTAGTAGTGTATTGTGCTAAATCGTCCATTTGAGACCTAGTTAATTGATTTAATTTTGCCCTGGATGGCTCGTATTTATATTGATTAATACTCCACATAGTGGCCGGTACTGGTTATTGTTGAAGTGCTAGGATGACAGCTATGCATTGTGGGAAGCTGAGAAACTAAGGCAAAAGACTGAGTGATAGCCAGTTACTTTAGCATAGTGTTAGTTGGGTGTTAGGAGTTAGTTATAACAGATTTAGCTGTAGATTTGGAGTTAATTAAGAGAGCTGGTTCATGTACACACATGTAAATAGCAGTAGTAGCAACTCATTGTAATTGATTTCTTTTCTCTCAATACACAGTAAGATACGACTGTCCAGAAGCTTCTCTCCCTAAGCTTCGTTTTCATTCTCTTAGCCAAGCTTCACATCCACTCAACAATGGTGGTTTTAACACGGTATCAGAGCTAGAGTGAATCGATCGAAGCTGAGACTCTGGTTTGAGAGTTGTTCTGTGAAATTGCTGAGAGAATTTTCAATCGATTTTTGCTTATTCTCAAATACCCAATTTTCTGAGTAAACCTGTAATGGCTGCTTTAGACATTGATAATCCGCGACATCTGTTGTACCTACAACCTTCAGATGGACCAGGAAATGTAATAATTTCAGTCCGATTAACCGGCAGTGAGAATTATTCAGTCTAGAGCAGAGCAATGAAGATCGCGTTGCGAGCTAAGCTAAAATTAGAGTTCATAATCGATACATGCACTAAGGATCAATTCACTGATGATCTAGGCGAGGATTGGGAACGTGTCAATGCTACAAATTTCACTTGGATTATGAACACTGTGTCGCCAGAATTAGTGAATTGGATAGTCTATGCGAGTAATGCTCATGAGGTGTGGACTGATTTACAGGATCGTTTTGATAAAATTAATGGATCGAGGATCTACAATCTTCATCGCGAAATTGCTACAGTTTCTCAAGGTACATCTAGTATTTCTGCTTATCATTCTAGACTTAAATTGTTGTGGGATGAGTATAGTGCCCTAATTCCAACTCTGCCTGTAACTCCTGAAACAAGAGAGTTCATAACACACCTAGAACAATAGAAGTTTTTTCAGTTTTTAATGGGATTAAATGATTGCTATAGTGCCATTAGAAGTCAGATGCTACTTTTGTCCCCATCACCAAGTGTGAGTCGTGCATATGCTATGCTAATTCATGAGGAGAGCCAAAGGAAAGTTTGTATGATCAATACACCTATGAATGAGGTGAATGATTCCACTGGCATAATGAGTTCTAGAGATAACACACAGAAGTTCAAGAGATATGGAAATCTATATTGTGAGTACTATAGAATCAAAGGCCACACTAAGGATACTTGTTATAAGTTAGTGGGCTACCCACCTGGTTTCAAAGGAAAGAGGAAGCAAGAGTATCGACAAGCCAATGCAGCCATGGGTGATGGATTTCATGCAAAGGATGACATGTTTCAGGCAGCCACAACTGCAGATTCTAATGTAGCAAGGCAAGGAGTGTACAACTATTTCACTGATGAGCAGTATAACCAGACTATTGAATCAGGACAAAGGAGAAGAGTTTGCAGCAAATATGGCAGGTAACATTGATTCACAATTGACTCAAACCTGTGACATTCCTTGGATTATTGATACAGGGGCAACAAATCATTTGACTTTAAATATTAACTTGGTGACTAATATAACTAAATTACCTAACTCCAAAGGAGGTAATGTTCATCTGCCTAATGAAAAATCAGTACCAGTTGTGTACCAAGGAAAGTGTAGCATCACAGGTGGTGAATCAATTCACAATGTTCTATGTGTACCTGACTTCAAACACAACTTACTGTCAGTTTCAAAATTGACTAAGGAACTATGTTGCTCAGTACTTTTCTTTCCATCATTCTGTGTATTCCAAGACCTATGCAATGGGAAAGTGAAAGGGATTGGTAAAGAATAGGGTGGTCTTTATCTGCTATTATCATACGGATCAAGTGCAAATAAGCTTAGGCAACAGATTAGAAGTTGTTTGGCAGAAGACACTACTACAGACAATAATGTGTGGCACAGAAGGCTTGGACATGTATCAGCCAGAGTAATGAGGCAGCTAGCTTTTATGACGAACATGATGCCTATAGATTGCAATTTCAATAAATGCACTGTATGTCTATTAGCAAGACAAACGAGGAAGCCTTTTCCCCTTAGTACAACTAGAGCAGGAGTAATCTTTCAATTGGGGACCCTACAAAGTGCCTACTTTTAATGGAAATAGATACTTTTTGACTCTTGTAGACGATCATTCAAATATTATTTGGGTGTTCTTAATGAAGTTGAAAAGTGATACACTTGATCTTCTAAAGTCTTTTATCAAGATGGTGAATTAAGGGTGGCATGTGGGCCGGGTCCGGTCCTAAGTGGGCCGGTCCTAAGCGGGCCGGTCCTAAGCGGTCCCGGACTTCGCGGGCTTCTTGTTGGAACCGGTCCGGGACCGGGACCACGAACTAACGGTCCCGTATTAAGTGGGCCGGTTCCGGGCCCAAACGGTCCTAAGCGGGCCCAAGTAGGCCCAACGGATACTTTCTATTTTTTAAATTATTTTTATACAAGTTAGAAAAAAAAATGGTAATAAAAATATCTAAGGCAATTCCTAGTAAATTATATTATAGAATTGTCACCTAAATTTTTTAATTCAAATTTAAAGACAAAAATATTGTAAAGAGATATTCAAAGCAATGCTATATATATATATATATATATATATATATATCTTAAGATGTATATGCTATATTCGATTTACTATATATACATCTTAAGATTTATACATTATATCTTAAGATGTATATATAGTATAGTATAGTATATACTATACTATACTATATATATATCTTAAGATATATATGCTATATTCGATTTACTATATATACATCTTAAGATTTATACATTAATATTCGATTTATATACTATATATACATCTTAA